TTTCGGTCGATCATCCAATCAGATTTAAAGCCCGCTATGCTGTTATAATTTACAGAGGAATTTTATTTTCTTTACAAAACTTGATTGCCAGTACATATCCTTCGTAAGCAGCAGATTTGATTAAAGTAGTACCTTTTCTAACATTTTTGTTAACACCAATGCCTTTATAATACATATTTCCAACATTAAAAATGGCATGTGGATTCCCTTTATCAGCAGCTTTAGAAAAATATTTAAAAGCCAAGCTCAAATTTTTCGTTACACCTGTACTTTTACACAAATAACTTGCATATTGAATTTGTGCCTTCATCATGTCCCCTTCATCGGCTGCTTCTTTAAATAAATTTGCAGCTTGTTTAAGTCGATCTTCTTTATTACCACTAAGACGCATTAGTTTGTTAGAAAGATAGTAGCCTTTATAATATTTCGCTGTCGTATCGCCTAATTTGGAATAGAATTCGAATGTTCTCCAGGCTTCGTTTATGTTACCATCTTCTAATTTGTGCTGTTTAATTGCTTCTTCGATTGGCATAATACTTCTGATAAAAGAAGCAAGTTTCGGAGGTGTTTTTTTGTTTGGGGCGTATCTGAATTTTCATTTAAACTTTTAAGTTTGAAAAGTATTCTCTCAAAATTGGGGCGTTTACATGGATCATGCTCTGTTGCTATAAATGGTTAAATTTTAATGTTAGTATATATTTATGGCACTGTCACATTTATTGGGTAAAAGTAATCAACCATATGTACCTTTAAAAACAAGCTTTTTCCATTTTTCAGGTACATCACTTCTAAATGTTAATGGAAGCGAAGCTTTCAAAATTTCGGTCTCTATGAGATGTGTTTCAATATTTGAAAATGGAAGATCCGTTTCGGCGATCTCCCAAAGTAGAATTCCAAAATTAAACATTAAAAAAAAAAAAAAAAATCATGAATTATGAACACATAAATCTACTTTTAAAGCAAATCATACCTAAAAACTTCACATCTTGAATCATATTTGTAATCACTATATTTTATTTTTTCAGGAGCCTTATATCTACTAGCATCAATGACGTTTTTAAGGTTTTTTGAGGCGTCAGCAAAGCGACGGCTCATACCAAAATTGGCCAGTCTAGCATGTTTATGAGAGTCGATCATGATATTAGCACTTCGCACATCATGATGTAAAATCTTGTACGCTTGAAGAAAATTAAGTCCACGTACAATATCTAACGCAATTTGTAGTTTTAGGGAGTTTTCAAGTTTTTCATTTCTATAATATTCTTCTAAACTACCATATTTTGACCATTCTGTAACCAAATAAGTTTTTGATAGACGTTCATTTTCAACTATACCAAAAAATTGTATTATATCACGTGACTCTTGAAGTCTTTTTAGCATACTGATTTCAAAATAAAAATCTTCCGGAAGGGAATTCATTTCAGTAAAAGCTACTTCATAATTATCAGAATTTCTGATCCATTTTCGGGTATTACCACGTTCTTCCCCGTTCTGGAGAAATCATGTTGATTTAATGGTTTTTCGATAATATCTTTTTTCAAAGCACTTTCCGTTTGAGCTTCAATCATGGTTTTTAGTACATTAAAATCTTCAAATCCTTTCAACATCACAACAATCTTCTTAATATCCTTAATATCCTCTTTCATTTCAGATACATTTTCTATGAGAATAGCGAAGCCATCCTCAATATTATCGATAGAACCTGCTAATTGATCTTGATTGGTGTTTATACTAATCGCGAGTTGTTGGACTAACTAATAATAAATGTACATTTCTAAAATTAGTAGTTGCCTTTTTTAAACAACTAAAAAAAGGTAGGATTAAACGGATATTAAACCTGATTTGTTTCTTGTATGTCTTTAGACAACGCAGCTCTATCCCTTTCACCTTGTT